GGGGTGTTGATAAAACCTAAGCGAGGTCGAAACTGCCGTCCACCTCTGCCTGGAGGAGAAGACCTTTTGGGTTAAGCAAGGCCTTGTGAAATTCAATGGAAACGTCAGCTCCACTCATAGCATTGTGGGAAAATCCAACTGCCAGTCCTTCATTATCTTAAGCGAGATAGGACGAAGATGACTCATTTACTGGTAGTTTCGAAAACCTATTCACTTACTAACTAAGAGGACTGCGAGTTGTTGTTGCTGTTGGTGCTGCTGCTGTTGCTGTTGTTGTTGTTGTTGTTGTTACGCGCACAATGGAAGGACATGAAAAAGGGACTTGCATTGCATCACTGTGACCTGGGCGCTGCAACCATTTCTATAACGTAAAGTAACTGACTCAGGTTTCGCTCTCCAATCAGACTTCTGGCCTGTTCTATGCCTCGAGAGTGTATTTGATCTGGCAGCGCGACGATGCTGTTCTGTCCGACCGCCTCCGACTGGGTCTATCACAGAAACGCCGTCCAAAGGCCACGCAGACCAATTGAGCGAGAGGCCGGCAATTTAAGGCAGCCCGGCTTGAAGAAAAAGAGGCTGCCAGAGCTGCCTCGATCGATCGAGACTGTTCAAGATCCGAAACAAGTCGTCCGGTTGGGATAAAAGTGGAGCAAATTATCCCTGCGTGAGACTGTGCCTGTTTGCACGTTGACTTGAATTATGTTGTCCTGACGGCTACTGGCCTCAACCTGGTGTTGGTGCATTTGTATGCTTGTGTGTATGTGTGTGTGTGTGTGTTGGTGGTGGTAGGCTCACACGCATGTCTGTATACGACTGAGAGATGGGCCAGCGTTGCCGGTAAAGACTGGAGCATAGGCAAGACATCTGGCATGATCTCCGGTCGATAGACTGGTCCAGCTTGGTCTGATCTACCTCTGCCCTGCCCAGCCCGGCCCGGTCCGTGCTGGACAGGACCGGATAGGATCGGACAGGACAGAACAGGACAGGACAGAACAGGACAGAACAGGACAGGACAGAACAAGACAAAGCCGAGTCTCTCAGGCCAGACTGAGGCAAGTGCTGCTCGGCAAAGCAGGTTGGTCAGGCGGTGTTGCCCGCGGGTGGATGTCTGAAAAGTGGGCTTAACCGACTGTGAATTTGAGGCGGCAAATAGTCGACGATGCCGCGTTCACTGAACTGTAAGGCATTATTGCCCTCATCGAGATTTACATAAGTTTCGACGTCATGACGACGGGCTAGCCTTGACGAGTGTGTATGGAAAAGAGGTTTTCCGCAAAGCCTGTGTGTCAATATGATTGCGGTATGGCTTGCTGGGACTGAGCCATCCTGCGGTTGCAGAGCACTGCTAAAATGTGAAGAGAAACGAGGTTTCGAGCAATTCTTTGATGA